AAAAAATACCCAATATATTAATCAGACTGATTAGGAATAGCAATTAGCAATAACGTATAGATATTATATGCTATATATATTGATGTATGCATGCAGCATATACGCATACTAATTTGCATGTCCATGCATCTGAAAGTATTGCACTCCACTGTGCTTGCATCTGCCCCTGTAACCAACAGTCCTTCAGCATGATGCCGTCGTCGGAGGTAATCATGGAGCCGTCAAACGCCAGTATATGCACGCGAGAGAAAACGAAGAATCAAAGGGCAGATCAATCTATGATTAAAAAAATCATAATTATAATAATAGATTGGAACGATAAATTAGCCGATGCCGGATAGCAGTTTTTATCCATGCATGCATGTGTTTATGCGTGTAGATGCAGAGCCGATCCTTGCGTGTCCAAGTGCATGTGCGGACGGATGATTGCTATCCCGGCGAGTAGCTGTCTTCACACGGCTGATAGATGGCTGCGGTGGATGACGCACTGCTACACGCCTCCGCCGAGGCGCCGAGTCCGCGTCGAACTCGAAGCGTCCAGTTTGATCTCAGCAATCAATCTCACCGAGCATAACAGAAAACGGCGATGACGACGACGACTGGATCGGAGGCTCGATTGCTATCCGGTGCGTGTGAACATCCATCGCTCCAGCATGCCTGTCCAGATAGCAGTGGTGACTCCCGTGGCCGACCTCCATGCAGAGCAGTACGATCAAGCAGGGTTGTGCAGGCTGGTAGCTGGAGACGTGGCCGATGATCTCTTGGATACAGATGATTTTTTTTGGCTACGGACTGTATAGCAGCTCCAGCCGGCATCTTGGCGAGCTGCATCTTGAGGATTCACCACCATTGGTGACGTCGGAGATTGGAGTGATCCAACTTGCTGAGGTTGATTTTCCTTGCTAGATTGAATCTGATTCGGCGCCTTCTAATTGGTTCCATCTCACTTCTCGTAGATAACTCGACGCACCCCTACCTAGCGCGCCAACTGTCGAAACATGAATTCAACAATAATAAAAGGGGGTAGCGCACGAGATCTAAAAGTGGATGGATGCGGAGACAAAGGATTTAGACAGGTTCAGTCCCTCTCAATGAGAGGTAATACCCTACTCATGTTTGGGGATTTGAATCCACCGGGTGTATTAGATCTGACGATCATATGTGCTCATGCCCCCTAGAGGGCCAGAACTTTAGGCCGTTCCATAATATACAAGAAAACGTAATACCCAAGTCATGATCTGTTACATATTCTATAGATATAAGTTATCCCCTATATCCAGTCGGATAACCATGCCGTGTGGGTATGGGGTACCCATAATCTCCACAATTCATGAAAAATAATACGGAAAGGTAAAATTCCAAACTTTTGCATACACGGGCAAAAACATCCGTACAATTCGACAAACTAATTTGTTTCAAATTGCAAACAATACGCACCAAATCTGGGTAAAAATTACACATAGGACAAAAAAAAAAGAAAAGAGGAAAAGAAAGGAGCTGGCATGGAGGTCTGCCATCGACGACCACCGCCCGACCTCGCTGCCGCAGGACACACCATCCCCGACCTGGCAACCTCGATATTGCTGAATCTGTTCACACCGTTGCCGAACCAGCGGCTTGTCGTCGTCCCCACTACCAGGCGCACCTCGCCTGCCGGACTTGCAGACCATATGCAAACCCAGCCTTCGTTGCCGCCGTCGTCGCACTTGTAGAAGGAAACATGGGTGTTTTGGTCTTTACAGAAATACGGTAGATAAAAACGCATCAAAATGTCAAAATGTGTTGCAGCCGTATGGCATGGCAGGGATAGGATTTTGGAAGGTTTAGGTCTTGTTCGGTTTAGAGCGGATTGAAGAGAATTGGAGGGGATTGAGAGGAAATAATTCCACACCGCAATAGATGTGGAATAAATTCCCTTCAATCCTCCCTCACAGGGATCAACCGAACAAGGCCCAAATAATTTATAATATTATTATCAAAACAGACAAATTTGCAGTGGCATTAGAGCAAGTTTAATAGTATAGCCCACTACTAACTCCAAATCATTTATAGCCAATGTAATAGCCAATTCATACAATAGTTGTTCACTATACTATTAATACCTGGTCCACCTGTCATACACACGTTACGTCTTTGAGTCCATACTGCAGTTGGCTACAGATCTGTAGCTCGCTGCTCTTTTCTCACTCTTTCTTTATCTCTTTAAAATATGTTTATAGCTGGTTTATAGCATGCTATTGTATCTGCTCTTAGTGCAATTAACCCAAGAAGAGATGGGAGAGATTAGGGATGAAAACGGAGCGGATAGTTTCCGTCCATTCTGGAGAGAAACGAATACGGATACCTTCAGATCGGATAGTTCGGATACAAATACGGATATTTCCTCCCGGATACGGATATGAATATGATATCGGGGTTTTCGTCGGATACGAATAGTAATTTGGATATCCAGTGAACAGTGCTATTCGGATATCTATAGAAGTCATGAGACATACCTCATTTGTTTACAACTCTAGACCTTCAATATACCTTTTTAGATTTTAATAGTAGTTCATCTCTTAACACTAGCCCACAATATTAATATTATTTAAATTTTAAAAATATTTATAAATTATACTATATTTTATATAAAATGAGGTAATTATATATTTTGATATTTGTTTCTATTAGAAGTTGAGTTGGTCTTCGTGTTCCGAGAAAAAAATTGTTTCCATATTCGTGTCCGATCATATTCGATTCTTATTCTTATTCGAGATAATCCATATTTGTTTCCGTATTCGAGCTATCCGTATTCGTTTTTGTATCCGGTAAAAAAAATATGAAAACGAATACAGTATGAGCATTATCCGTTCGTATCCGCTCCGTTTTCATCCCTAGGAGAGATGGGGGTGCCAGTGCCCGGCCAAAGAGGAGAAAGCAGAGAAGACCGTGACGTGATTTTCTTGTTATCGCATTGCATCGTGGGCTGGATTAGAGCGAGCGACTGATGTGTAACACTGAAATTTTCGAATATAAAACTTTAGAATAACTAAAAACCTTTTTCAAAATTTGAATAATGCTGATATTCACTGGATTTTCCTTTTTCTCTTCCTATTGTGCTAGTGCCAAAAATTAAAATAAATAAATTCAAAAGAAATTAAATCCAAATTTTAAGTTCAAATATTAAATTCAAACGTCATTTATTAAAGCACCCGTTATTTAAATTAAAATCCTTTAGGGAAATATTATACAGATAAAAACAAAACTAGTTTCAAAGTCTAAACCACACCTTGTCCAAACCCTTAGCCTATCTCTAGTCTAGCCGAGCACCCTTATCTTCTTCCTCCATTTAGGCCGGCCCATCTAGCAGCCCAACCTACCGGTGGGCCTGCTCTGTCTCGGCCCAGCCTACCAAGCCAGCCTGGCGAGCTGCGAGATGAGCCAACCCGGCCAGCCACCGTCGTCCTTCCGCCGCTGTCGCGCTGCCGGAGTCCGGGGTGCCGCTGCCGACGGAATCTACCCAACCCGTTGTACCTCGCCACCGCCGCCACGCGCCCTTGCGAACGGTAGATGACCGTCCCTCCACCTTTTCCCCTGGCCGACTCGCCATGCCGCGTCTCGACGGCGTCCATCTTGCTGCACCAGGAGCACATACGGCAGCGCAGGAACCGTGCCGCATCACCTGCCACACGAAACATCAATTTGGCATAAAAAGATCAACCACACGAAAGTACGAAACTGCTGCTAATGATAAGATTAGTGTCACTGTAGCATACGCACATTATTCTGCAGCCTATCTTCTCCTTACACAATACAGTTTCAGGTGCAGGTTGGTTATCTGAAGACAAAGTCGGTGCTGATAAGGTAGGTTGCAGTGAGCAAGGCCTCATCCGAAAAGCGAACGAGAAGAGTTAGCCAAGTCTCTACAATGTTGCAATGTGCATGTGGGAACACAAACGATGTGCAATGCCAAGTTTCAGAATGAATTTTTGCAACCTTCAAGTCAACATCAAACCAATCAGTCTGATTGAGCAGATTTTATTATTTGGATATCGTTGAACATATGATTGAAACTGAATGAACAAATGCTCCAGTCTTCAAGAGAACGATATACCCATGTGAATCTGTTAAAATCATCAATAACAATATGTTTGCCCCTTTCTGTTTTATTGTCCACTGAAGTAAACAGTCAGTCAATTACGCCTGTGTCCCGGTAGCACAACAGTGTCTTGTTTGAAAATACTGTAAGCAACTCATCAGAGATCCAGGAATTAGCATCAGAGAAGGTATGCTGCAGATGTGTACGGAGAAAATGCTCTTAACATCTACTACTAAATACTAATACCTCAAGGCATGCTGCAGTCAGCCTTGACATCTTGACAAAGTTACTAGCAGCCTTGCAAAACTTCAGTGAGTGAACAGATTCTGAAAAAAAAAAATCAGCAAAAGGTGGAGTTATTGGGACAAGTTCAAGGAATGGATGATCTTCATTCTGTACATTTGCAATTTGAAGATCAATTCCTTTCTTTTCCACAAGTTTCTGCATTTTCACCTCCCTGTTTCATTTCTTCAGTCCCAATTCAAATTGATGCAGCAGCTGGCATTCGGTCAGAGACTGCAATTCAAGACATTGGCACTTATTGATAAATAGATTACTCTATTTATCTTAGTAACATCCAAATTCAGAAAACAAAAAAGACACTGCTCCTTCAGTTTGATTGCCTTCCAAAATTAACAATACTTTGCCCATCATTTTCTTCTTCTTACAAAAAAATTCCTTCAAAAATAAGAATGAGTAGGACAAGCAACAGTTTAAATTTCTGATCGAATTATAAAACTGATCAAAACAAGTTCCAAATCAAGCTCGAAACACTAGTTATCTGAAAAAACTATCACAAAAAAGAAGCCCCGCTGCTCGCGCGGGAGCACGCGTGAGACATACGCTGTCTCACGCTGACGTCGGCGCGTCCAATAAATTCAAATCCCACCTTACTGGAAATATCCCACGCGCGCATCCTCCACTCATCTCCTCTCGACCAAGATTTCCCCCAAAACCCTAGAAATCCCCAGGCGGCGGCGCGGCGCGCGATCGGGGGATCGAGCCGGCGATGGCGGGCGCGGATGGGCTCCTTCCCGGCCTCAGGTTCGACCCTAGCGACGACGAGCTCGTCTCCCGCTACCTTCTCCGGCGCATCCAGCAGAAGCCCCTCCCGCTCGACGGCGTCATCGTGGATGCCGATCCCCTGAGCGTGCCGCCATGGACGCTTCTCGCGGATCACACCCGAGGCGACGAGGCCTTCTTCTTCGCGGAGGCACGCGCCAAGAATGGCAAGGGCAAGCGACAGAAGCGAACCGTGGAGGGCGGAGGGTTCTGGCAGGGGCAGAGGATGGCCGTGGATGGCGAGCGGCTGGTCGTCCCAGGCGACGATGGAGGCGGCGGCGGCGACGAAGGCCTGGAGATCACGTGGCGCAAGTATGTGTTGAGCTTCTTCGCCGAGGGTGAACGGGGCAGCTCGGGCTGGGTTATGCACGAGTACGCCGTGACGTCGCCGGCTGACCTCGCCTCGTCGCAGCTCCGGCTGTACCGCGTCAGGTTCAGCGGCCACGGCAAGAAGCGCAAGAGGGAGCCGCAGTGTCTGGACTCCCACGACGACGACGACGGCGGGGATCAAGAAAGCGCGACTCACCGGCGCGCCGTGGCTGAGACCACTCTGTTCGACGGATACGTGCCTCGTCCTGCAGCCGACGGCACCGACCAGGGCACCTATGGCGTGATCGACGGCGAATCTTCGCTGGCGTCACATTGTCTTCCCGATCAGATCGTTCCCCCAGCAGAAGAAGCTGATGCCACTGCTGGTGTAGAGAATCCTCTGCTCGATGAGGAGCGCTGGTCACCACCACAGCCCGCTCTGGTGAAGCAGAACTCCTACGACCTAATGGCCATTTCGTCACTGCTGTTTTCTGATCTTCCCGACAGAATCGATGACGATGACCTGTCTGTGTCGCAAACAGAGGGCACCGAGCTGTCCGAGCAGGGCTCCTCCGGCGTGATCGACGACGATTATTGGCGGGTGTTCCATGGACTTTCCGACCTGATCGCGCTGCCAGCAGAGGAAGCCGATGCCACCGGTGGTGCAGAGAGAGAAGAGATCGCTCTGCTCGACGAGGAGCGCTGCCCGCAACCACAGCCCGCTCCTCCTACTGCAGCTCTAGTGCCACCACTGCAGGGCCAGAGCTCCTACGACTTGATGGCTGATTCGTCACTGTTATTTGCTGATCTTCCTGGGAGCATCGATGACGATGAGCTGCAGCGATCTCTGCGTGCGTCGGACATGCCTGACCAGTTCTTGGCGCAGACAGAGGAAGCCGGTGCCGGTGGTGGTGGTGGCGCAGCGGCAGCGCTGAACAAGCAGAGCAACTCCTCACCGTTGGGCGTCGAGGTGCCGATGGCGTTGTCTGATCTTGAGTCCCCAGAGAGCATGCCTTTGTCTGATCTAGAGTTCCCAGAGAGCATCGATGAAGTGCTTAGTTACATTGACTTCACCACGGATGATACGAGCTGCCTCGATTTCGACATGGACGAGCTGTTTTCCGACATGCCAGCAGACTAGCGCCCTGCAGAGAGCAAGTGATCAACGCTGACATTGTCCTCTTAGGAAGAGATCAGAGCAAGTGATCAACGCTGACATTGTCCTCTTAGGAAGATATCAGTTCTTCTTCCTCTGTAGCGCAGTACTGCAGTCTGTGCAGCGGCCAGAAGTTTAGGAGTTTTGTGTTTCTACCCTGGAATTACATGTATTTATTAGTTCATTGGTTCAATTGAATGTAACATGTGATTTATTAGTTGAGGTTGCTGTTGATTTCTATGAATTCAATGTAAGTAATAACATCCATGTACAATGAGTGGTGCACATTCAATAAAGCTCTGTCATTCAAATTCAGAACAGAGTACATTAGTTTATACTGAAAGTCTGAAACTCTGGTTTTGTTTTCTTCTCTGCTTCCTTTTCAGTTTGCACACACTGTATGGATAAAAAACGACCAAATGTTGTGATCCTTCAGGACACAGCATGGATGTAATCTTTAACAAATTGACAACAGGCTCCAAAAAGAGCATTCTCAGATTCACCATGACTAATGCTTATAAAACATGCACCGTTGTTACTGAATTATTGACTGGAGTGATACACGCACCAAAAGGCTCATCCTCACACATCACAGGCATTTTGGCCTCAATGGATGACATATGAATAAATGATACGATTTCAGAGAATATAGAACAAACATTCATACCACATCCTTTTTTATTTGCACTGTGAATGTCACCTACATGAGTGCCACCGACACCCTAGCACTTTTCTTGCATACAGTTATAGAACCAACATGCTAGGAGCTACAAAACAGAGCTGCAGTTCCCCTAACTTATGTCAGTACTAGGATGTATACTGACAAGTACGTCCTACATGATATTTACATTTACTGAAGATTGTACAAAACAAAAACATGGAGCATCTTCAAGAATTTGCAACAACTTTGTTGGCTCCAATGCAACACGATACAACGATGCTGCAAAACTGATTAATGGAATGATTCCTTCAAAACTGATTAACAGCAAACTGAGGTCCTGTGGAAGTGCTTGTTCTTGAAAAAGAGTGAGCAAAAGTCTTGTAGATCCTAGCCAGATGACTATCCTCCCATCATCTAATGCCAGCAGCGCTTTACATTGTACTGGGATACTCTCCAGTTGACCTCTTGTATCTTACTAGCAGCACTGTGTCGAGTGACTTCCACCTTCCACCAAGTTTAATCTCATCATCTTTTGCAAGCTGAAGTATTTCCTGCAATTAAACTAATATAAAGCCAAATTGAGGGTAAGACAGTAGACAAAAAAAAAAGTTAGTATTTGAACAAACTGAACTAGGGCAGAATAAGCCACACCCCCAATAATTCAATTCACTGATAAAACTGAAGAATGTGGTTCATCTTGCTCACTTTGTGGTATCATGGAGGATGAGACTATGATCCATTTAGCCAAAGTGTGTCAATTCTTTATTCATACATGGAATCGTATACTCATAAGTTGGCCTTGATGGAAACATCCAATTGGCACAATCTGTCTAACAAAGATTGGTGGTATGCACTGGGAAGGGATCAATGCAAAGAAGATATAAGATTAATGCATGGATACCTAATTAGGACCTGACAGAATGTATAGCAGGGAAGGGAACGAATAATGTTTCAACAAGAATCAAGAACTGACATGCAAGTGGCACATATTATCAGGGAGGAGATTAGCCCAGGGGGAATTCAACCAGGAATAGATAGTTCTAGCTGTTGTTTTCTTAGTTGTTGCATTCGTTTCTTCCAAATTTTGGCTGAGAACATGTATGTATATTTCTTGTATATTTCTTTCTGTTTTTCTCAATTGAATAGACAGATCTCCTGCCCTTCTTTTATTAAAAAAAATCACACTCATGATTTCCAACAAAATCAGTAGCACAGTACCAATGGGCATCAGCAGAGTAGTTAATATTGAACTAATCTAAAATGGCCAGATTCAAGTACTCAACAGATCAAAAAGGGTTTATTATGCATGAGATTACCAAATTCAACATTACTAGCGCACAATATAGCAAGGCCAGGTTGTCCTATGGTAAGCTGAGAGGGAAGGGGATGATAACTGCTGGAGAGCGCCGGTGTTGGGGCCATTACTGGAAACCTGCCGGAGACCTTGAAGAGGACTGCGCCACCGGAGACCTGCTTCTAGTCAGTGCCGGTTCTTGGATATAATACTTATGCACAGAGTCCTATAGGTCCTAGCCAGATGACTATTCTGTCATCAATCATATAATTCTAGCAGTGGCTACTCAATCTCTAGTTAGCCTCGTGTCCCTTGCCAGCAGCACTTGTGCAGAGTGACTTCCACCAATCTCCTCATCTTTTGAAAACTTTACTCTATATAATTAAACAAACATAAAAGCAAATTGAGGGTAAGCAATTAGACAGAAACAATGTTATTAGTTACCAGAATGAATTGAACATCTCAGGCAGAAGAGGCCACACTCCACTAGTTCAATTCAACGATAAAACTAGGGTTAACTAAGGAATTACAGTTAACAGTTATAGTAGATAGTACTTTCAGGTTTCAACATTGTCAGTACCAATTAGCACCTCATCGGTATTGAAGTAATTTAGACACTACTCCGTTTCATAATATAAGTCATTCTAGCATTTGTTTCATAATGTAAGTCATTCTAGCATTTTCTACATTCATATTAATATACTTAGCTAGATTCATTAACATCAATATGAATGTAGAAAATGCTAGAATGACTTACATTATGAAACGGAGGGAGTACCAAATTTAATAGAGACAATAATAAATATTCAAAACTGAGAGAATAAGGAGGAACTAGCTAGTGCATCATCGAGGAAGAGGCCAGGCTCTCCCATGGTAATAAGCTGGAATTGAAGGGGGAGGCTACCTTGCAGTTGCAGAGAGCAATTTCTTTCTCCTCTCTATACACTTCTCCCCTACTTCCCCTATCAGCCATTGCCGCCGACGAAGAAGCTTCGGTTGGGTGGTAGAGCGGGGCGGAGTGGGGGGCGGCGACGGGCTTACGGCGGCGCGGCGGATCCTCGCGACCACGTACGGCTTCGTCTTGACGGCGGCGACGACGCGGAACCGGTCGCCGCCGACGCACCCCACCTCGCCGGCCGCCACCCCGCCTCCCACTCCGCCGCGGCGCCGCCGCCCGCCGGAGTACACGACGCCGAACCTGGAGCCGCGTGTGCACCATGGTCCGGTACCTGAACTCGAACGCCTGGAGCTGCACCGTCGCGCCGGGGAAGACCACTGACGGGAACAGCACGATGGGGATCTCCGCCGCCTGCTCCTGCCGCGGCGCCCTCGTCCACGCAGCCGTGCAGGTTGCTGCCATGGATTGTTAGTTGAGATGATCACATCTTTCATTGTTAGAGATAAAATAGCATGTCTATCCCTTTTCCATATATATCATATCAGTTATCCCCAGCTCCTAGGTTTTTTCTCCAGCTATGATCAATGATTCAAACGAGTATACTTTGTCCGATCCACAGGTCTGAATATTCCATCCGCAGAGAATTCTGAGACGACGACTACGAAGAAGAAGAACCGATGATGCTGCGGTTGATGGGCCTTGCAAAGCTAGATGGAACTTGTAGAGTCTTGAGCGCCGTGTTCTCCTCCTCCTCCGCGGCGGCGGGGGCGGGCTGCGTCGAGCTCCCGTCCGCGTGCGGCTGCGACTCGGCGGGCGGCGGAGCCAAGCGGAGGGCGCCAGCCTCGTCGTCGACGTCTTTCAGGTGCGCAGCGGTGCGAAGCCGGCGGGGCGGGGCGGGGCGGAGCGGGGGGTGGACGGCAGCGCGAAGCCGACGCGACGGACTGGGGCCGCGACGGGCGGACGTGCGGGTGGAGTCTTCTTGAGGTGGTAGTCCCCGGCACCAGGGGTGCCGGACGCAGGATAAAAATTGACTGGGGGCATCTGTGGTATGTAAATTATCTAACTTAACTTTATAACTTATATATAGCAAGTTAGAAAACCCAAGTAAATTCACTTATTTTGCAGATCCTACATAAAAATGACTATGACATATTATATTACTCCAAGGAAGCTTGTCTGAATCAGTACTTCAGTAGGTTGAGGGGCTTGAGGCATTGCAAAATTTTGTCTAGTTATTGGTTTTGATGCATTTACACTAGATTCCTTCCATTAGTGTTCATTATTGCTGTTGTTTTTTATTACAAATATATGTCATTATCTTTTCCTACCAAATCATTGATGAGATGTTGCATTACGATATTAGTGCTACCACAAACTAGAGGAGTACGGCTCAAAATTTTGAAAGACAAAATTGCTAATGTAAACATAAAAACATACCGTGGCTACTTACCAAGGGCAACTAGAGAGGGTTTCAGGCTGCAGGTGCACCGGGTGAGGCTTGCCGACATGGCCGCATGGGCCGTGGCCATAGCCCATAGAGACTGTCCACGACTTGCGGCGTGACGCGATTGGCACGGGAGATGCATTGTTGGGCAGATAGCGATGGAAGGACGCCGACATCCCGCCATCCGTGGCTCTCGTGAAGCCTCCAGGCAGTGGTCGCGACGGCCTCCTTCGGCGCCGGCACTTGCAGGCTGTGGGAAACGGCGAACTGCGGGAAGCACCAGATTTTGATGGCCTCAATAGCTCCGGTAATTACGATTTGTAGATTGGGATCCAGGGAAGGGGAGCGGACGGTTCGAGTCCTCAATACTGTCCTCACCGCACGCACAAAGATTGCAAAGGAAGGAAACCAGAAGAGTGGGGGCCTTCTTGTCAGGTGCAGTGGGGGCCTATTGGTAATATGATTAGGGGTATGTGTAATATATGTAAAATTTGAGTGGGGTCCAGGGCCCCCACTGCTAATACGCTAAATCCGTCTCTGCCCGGGCACAGCCGTGACCGTGGCCGGAGAGGGGAGATGGGGAGATGGGGAGAGGGGAGGAAGAAGAGGTAGGGGGGAGTGACATGTGGAGCCCACGTGGACCCCCACCATTTTTTTTATTACTTTGTGTCTAAAACTGACATGTGGGTCCCACGGGGTTTAATATTTTTCATATTGAGTTGCCACGTCACCGCCACGTCAATGCCACGTGGGATGAAGACATAGTCAAAAGAGCCATGTAGGCGCCACATCGGCCAAAACCACCCTCCATACTGCCGAGGGATCTCGTTTGTCTGGTTTTCGTAAGTTGAGGGACGGGTCGTATCCGGTTTTACGGTTAAGGGATGAAAATCGGACTGACCGACAAATAGAGGGACCTAAAGTGAACTTATTCCAAAGAGAAAAGCCCAAGTAAATCACTGCGCAGTCCGAGTCCGAGCCCAACTAAACCACGTTCTAATCTCTCCTCCTCCGAGTCTTTTCGGTTTGGCTCGATCCGCTTTGCCGCAACACGAGAGAGGAAGGAATCCCTCACGCCGTTCTCGTCTCGCCGTCGGCGCGGCGTGACGGCGTCGCGATGGACCCCGCCGCCGCTGCCGCCGCCGGCGGCGGCGCCGGTCCAAAATCTGATGCGGCCCCTTCCGCACCGGCGCTGCACGGCCTGCCGGTGGAGATGACGACGGGGGAGATGGAGGCCGCCATCGCCGCCCTCCCCGCGAAGAAGGAGGCGCTGCGCGAGGCCTTCGACGTCCTCGCCGCCTGCTCGCCCTTCCCGCTCCCCTTCGCCTGGGGCGACCTCGACTCCTACATCTCCTCGCTCCAGTCGTCGATCGACCGGCGGTTCGGCCAGCTCCGGGTCCTCGAGGCGGCCCGCCCCGCGCTTGCAGGTCCCGCCGCCGCCTCCACAAGCGACGGCGAGAAGGGCGGGAAGCAGGAAGAGGACAGCGACGAGGAGGAGAAAGAGGAGGAGGAGGAAGAGGTTGAGGAGGAAGAAGTTGAGGAAGAGGAGGAGATTGAGGAGGAAGAGGTCGAGGAGGAGATTGAGGAGGAAGAAGAGGAGATTGAGGAGGAGGAAGAGGAAGTCAGAGAAGAGGTTCAGGAGGCCGGGGAGGAGGTCGACGAGGAGCAGCAGGGAGCCAACGAGGAGATGCAGAAGTCCAAAGAAGATGCTGATGAGTCTTCCAAGAGTGCGATTCCAGTGCAGAAACAGGAAGAGGATGAGGCAGAGAAGGAGATAATTGAGGCCAAAGATGAGGAGCAACATGGGGACAAGCTGGCCTCTCAAGAACACGACATTGGGGAGAATGGGGATGTGGATGCCCAAGGGGTTCAGCAGGTGGCTGACGGTGAGACAATGGAGGCCAAATCGGAGGAGCAAAATGAGGCTAAGGTGACATCTATGGAGCATGACATCGAGGAGGGCGACGAGAAAGCGTCTCGAGAACAAGGCAATCGAGCTCTTCCAAGTTGCAGCGATCATCTTAGGGGAGTGTGTGCTGGCATGGACGTCAGGGGGCTGTTGAAATTGGTGTGTAAGAACCAGAGCATTTGCCTCTGGCATGAGTACCCCGTGGTGATGCGCCATGCCCCAGATGCTGCTGCCCTTGTCCTCCAAGTCGTCCAGGGTTTCCTTCTCAGCAAGAAGATGAAGACCACCAAGGTTTGGGGTAACTGTGTTGGGCTGATTCGGTGCTTACCTGCAGTGAATGCCTCGCTGTCCTCAGACACAATGAAGCAGGCCAAGCAGCTGGCGAAGGATTGGAAGGAGATGATTGACAGCACTGGAAGCAGCAGGGACGTTTTGAACCTGTCCTCCTGGGGCCTCCTGTATTTTCTCATTTCTTACAACATTGTATCGGAGTTTTCTGTTGATGAGATCTTCTGTATCTTTGGTACTCTTTCACGCAAACAACAGAAAAAGAACTGCATCGAACTCTGCAAAGGTCTTGGGCTTGTCAATAGGATCACTGGTATGGATGACTCTCTCTTCACTCAAGGATCATATGCGTTCCTGCACTTTTGTGCTCAATGATAGTATGTTAATGCCATAAATTTTCATTGCCACCACTGAACAGTAAACATGTGCACTTCATATAATGCTGCTAGCCTTTATCTGGCACCCTGCAAACACTCATCGAAATGTGTAATTCTCTCTTTCAATTGCAGCCACTCTGTCCATGCACATTATGCTATAGTTTACAGTATTTCATCTAGGTCTGTTCGACCCATTTCATTACTGCCAAATTTCATAGCCACCACTGAACAGTGAACATGTGCACTGCATATAATGCTGCTAGCCTTTAAGATAATCATCAATAGTGAATCATCCAATAAGAGATGCATAGGTAGAGTACTCCTTTTCCTGGTAGCAAGAAATGTTGCATGCAAGCAGGTTGTGCTTGTATAGTAGTCGGAGTGAAACATGTCGAACTCATAGTGTAGTAAAAATAATCTTCTAATCTAATATCTGTTCACCATCGTTTAACCCAGAATATTCTCTTATGATAAAGCGTGGTTTTTTCACACTACAAAAGAGAATTTTGGGAGTACAATAAAAAAACTAAAACTGAAGGTCAACTGGTCAAATTCTACTATTCTGCTTCATCTTTTGCCACATTTTCAACATACCTCAGATGTTCAGGGGCAATTAATCATTGAATCCTATAGGAAAACCACTGCACAACATAGAGAACTAGATGGCACAACTCGATCTCTTGTATTTGCTTCTCTGTTCTGGCATATATCTCACTGCTTTTCATAACCAATTTAACCGTGGCTGCTGAACAATACCTGATTGATTATTAACTCTTCTAGTCTCCAACTCTTGTAATGTAACTGTATAGATGTTTATGATTTAAAATTAATTACTTAAACGATCAACATGAAAACATGTCTTAATGGACTGTTTTATTCAAAATGTACTGGCTGCACATTATTTGATTTCAAGATACATCAATTTTCATTTGGAGAAGCAGCTTGGAGTTCCCCAGGCAGTGGATCTCAATCATTGTGATCCTTATGCTGTGAGCCTGTGACTATATCATGTTGTACATTGAAAATCCACTTGAAATCTAGATTAAGCGTGGGTTTTGGTCGATAGCCTTTTTAAGCATGCGTTGTTTTTTTTTTTTAACTCTTGGGGAGGGATCGTTTCCTCCCCTGTTTTTTCTTCTTCTCTTCTTAAAGAAATGACACACAATTCTCTTGCGTGTTCAAGAAAAAAAAATCTAGATTAATAACTTGCTTATTTCATTTGAGTTCCTAATAAGCGTTATTTTTTGTGGTATTTGTTCGATGAATACATATAGATATGTTGAGCTTTTTAGGGATGTGTTCCTCTTCTGATGGTCTAAATCAGTCAATCATTTTGAACATCTTGAACCATTTTGCATATTCCATGTATCTCCAGGCATTGAAGGGCTATTGGCAGTATATACAAGTGACAGCTGACCAATAATTTGAACGATAAAATAAAAATCCTTTCTAATTGGCATGCTAGTCTTGAGAACAAAGTTTCAATTATTATTCACTTGCTTAGTTGCTCCACTTGTGCACCTTGAGGCCCTGTTTTTGCACGAGGTACTTTTTCCTGATTCACAGTAAAAAAAAATGTTAATTCCATAATGGAGTTTCTTCAGTGTTTGTAGACGCTGCGACCAAATGACATTTTTGTTTATTTGATAGACCTGTTAATATAAGCTCATGTAGGATAGTTTATCATCTGATATTGATACATCACAGATATACCTGGTAATTGCTTGGTGCAATGTATACTCTGTAGTAACTAGCTGATGAAATTTCAATTTTTGATACTATGATGCTGTGCTACTTGTAGTTAACTAGTTATTTCCTTTTTATATATACATTTCAACATAATTGTAGACATTTATCTCTTTGATAATTTTTATTTTGCTGGAGCAATGTCTGCTGACATTTTTCTTGTTGTCATGTTTTTGCAGACTTAATTGATTATTTGATTGGAAATGGTCAACAACTCGAAGCCTTACTGTTAACACAAGCTTTTAATTTGATAGACAAATATACTCCACTTTCTCTTCTGAAGGGATATGTTGAAAGGGCAAAACAGAATGCTCTGGATATAATTAATATGAATTCTCCACGCAAGTCTCTGGTATTGACTACTCCATAGGAAATGATTAAATGTTGGGGTAGTACTTTTCTAATTTATACTGCAACGTGATCTGGCACCGATCGATGTCATAAATCATAAGAGTAAATAGAAACTTGAAATATTGTTATGCATGGACTATTAGAGTGATCTTTTACCTTGCAAAAATTAAGAAATTGGAAATAAGACATTCTTGTAGTAGTAGTCTGGTAGATGTTTATGTTACAAAAATTTGTTCTCTCCTCGAGCTATTTATTTTTTGATGGTTTAAATATTTGATGATGGCACATTTACTTGTGAGCAGAGTCCACTTATAACGAAGGAGGTGGATAGTCTAATGGTTGCACAGAACATAGTTCAACAGCAGATCACTGATTTCAACGTGCGCAGTGGTATGCTGGCAGAAATGAAGAAATTATTAGATCAATATGCAACGAAGCGAAGTTCAGGGGATGCTTGTTCTGCCTCAACTTCAAATTCAGAGCAGCAGCAGCAGCAGCAGCAAAAGCATACAAACAAGAAGCGCAAGAGAGAGCAGCTCGAGCAGCAACAGCACAGGGGACAAGAGATCCAGCAGCAGAAGCAACAGATTAAACCACAAGGGAAGAAGGGGCAGCAGCAAACTAAGCCAGAACAGAAGAAGCAACAACAGCTAAACACAAATAAGCCTCAAGAGCAACAACAACAGCAGCAGCAGAAGCAACAAATTAAGCCGCAAGAGAAGATGGGGAAGGAGCAAACTAAGCCAGAAGAGCAGCAGCAGCAACAAAAGACAAATAGGCCTCAAGAACAACAGCATAAGAAGCCACAGAAAAAACAGCAGCAGCAACAACAACAACAGCAAAGTAAGCCACAAGAGAAACGCCCAAGGCCATGCACCACCAAGCTGCCAACACCATCTATCCCTGCTTCCATATCACCTATGGTTCCGCATATTGTGCAGGTTGATTCTGTTGGGCATTCACCATATGCTGCAATGCCTATATCTCACACTTATGCTGCCCAACTAGGTTGGCCTGGAAATCAGAGCGCTGCATTTGCACAAAATGTTGGAGTTTCTCAATTTATGGGTATGTTTAATCCCCAACAGCCTAATTATCCCTTCTACCGTCATCCACCGTTCTATCCCAGGTAGCACTTGCTGCAATGGGTTGTTGAGTAAACTAGAGAAAGATATAGATGCTTACAGGAGTTTTCCTCTTGAATTGTGTTGGCTCAATTGCCTCATGTTGTGTTGGACATTTATTTACATTAACATGTATATACAATTTTGGCCATTCTCTTTGTTGTAATAGCTTTTCAATAGTTCTGCCCTTTGAAGGTGCAGCTTGTCGATTTAACTGACAGTTGACATGCTCCTTGTTTCGTTTGTTATTTTAAGTGTGGACGTTTGAGGATTATATGCAAAGGCGTGGAGGTATGATGGTGCGGTTTCTGTTCAACATGTCTCGAAGCACAAATGAATTTCAGTTTAATGCTTTTGGAGGCAACTCCGTTTCGGACGTCCGAATGTTTGGGGAAAAATCGGGTGCTGACGTCAGCATGACATGACGTCAACGCCTGATTTACGTGAAAAACTATTTTAAACTGATTTTTCTCTTAAATTACTTATCCAAATCATGATTTGATTGCACCATTAAATTCGTTGCAATTAAATCTTCAAAACAAGACCACACATGGATATATTTTAACAAAATTTTTTTAGCTTATTATTGAATTATTTCTAAATGTTGCACGATGTTCCACCAGGTATATCGGAATTGTTTGACTAAATAGATCGAAAATGTTTCACTTGTTTAAATCGGGTGTTGTTTCACCTTATATAAAAATAATGTTTCAGCAAATAGCGAAATAATGTTTCAGTTCACTGCAACATTTAATCCATACATAGTGAAACATTATAAGTACACTACGTGAAATATTTTTTTGGGGAACAATAAATAAAACGAATTTCCTTAATAGGGGGTTTCTAAAATATGTGGGTTTTTTTTCAATGAAATATTTCAGTTCACTGCAACATTAGATCTATACATAGTAAAACATTGTGAGTACACTAGGTGAAATATTTTTGGTGGAACAAAAAAATAAACCAAATTCCCTTAATAGGGGGTTTCCAAAATATATGGGTGATTTGTTACAACGGCGCGTTCCATAATATCAAAATCCACTACAACATTTGATCCGTACATAGTGAAACATCGTAAGTACACTAGCTGAAACATCATAAAACTAATAGTTGAAACATCGAAAGAGATCATATGCAATATTCAAAAAAAAATATCAATAGAAAAGCTAAAATATTTTTTTATCGAAATATAATCATGTGTGATCTTGTTGTAAAGATTTAATTACAACGAATACAACAATGTGATTGGATCGTAGATTGGATAATTAGTTTAAGAGAAAAATCGTTTTAAAAGGAGCGGTAGGAGGCGCGGGCGCCACGAGGCGTCCGATTTTTTCCATGCCATCGGGCGCCCAACGCGCAGCATTCTCGAATGCTTTTGCGTTAAACTAGCTTGTGCATTCAATTTGATATTTATTATACTAATAAATATTCCACGTCTAACATTAATAGGCTCACGTGAGGGTAAAGTGTTAAAATAGTTGATTGAGCATCTTCCTCAATTATTAGCTTAAGTTTTTTTTATTTTGTTTAGTCGGTTCATGCAACTTAATAAGGGGTTCATATAGCTCCTAAATTGCTTCGTGGCAAGGATTTCCGCTTCCACTAAACTTACTTAGTAGCCCCTTATCTGTTTAATCCCCACCGGCCTTGTTAGCTGCTAGCTAGCGCGTGCGCGCCAGCAGCGAGCACCTCCCTAACTACTTTATAGTATTACCTCCCTAACTACTCTATAGTATTAGTTAACACCCACTTAACACTAATAACGAGTAATTATGGAAGATTCTCAAGATTTTTTTTCTTTTTTCGGGAGATTTTTTTACTAACAGATTGAAAATTTTTAAGTCAGATTTGAAAACTTTTGATTTAAGATTTAAATTTTAAAGTCAAATTTTGAAAACTTTCCACTCAGTTTTGAAAACTTTCAACTCGAGATTTGAAAACGTTCAACTCAGATTCAAAAACTTTCAAGTCCAGATTTGAAAGTTTAAAACTTTCAACTTGAGATTTGAAAACTTTTAACTCAGATTTGAAAACTTTCAACTCGAGATTTGAAAACTTTCAGGTCCAGATTTGAAAATTTTGAAAACTTTCAACTTGAGATTTGAAAATTTTCAACTCAAGATTTGAAAACTTTCGACTCGATTCAAAAACTTTCAAGTCCAGATTTGAAAGTTTTGAAAACTTTCAACTTGAGATTTGAAAACTTTCAACTCGAGATTTGAAAATTTTAAAGTTAAGATTTAAAAATTACTAGTAAACTAATCATTAGTAAAAATAGGAAACTAATCTATCCGTACGGCGGGAATAACAAACAGGGAAAAAAAAGGAAAAAAAAGAGAGAAACACAAGCGCTAGGGATGTCAATTTCCCCGACGGGGACGGGTACCCGCCGGGGACCCGACCCTACGGGGCCGGGGTCGGGGCTATATTTGGCCCCGCGGGTGCAGCGGGGCGGGGCCCCGAAAATATGCGGGGACGGGGGCGGGTCTAGGTTTCCACCCGCGGGTGACCCATGGGGACCCGGAAATATGGTACATGCGTAGATTGCAAATTAAAAATGTGGCCCAAACAAGCCCATGTTGTGAAATAACTTTTCCTATCCCATCTTATCTACCCCAGCCATACATACAGTTACGGAGCCATCCATCCAGATCGAGTCAATGACCTTTCAAATCAAAAGAATAAAAAAAGAAAGATACAGTCAACGAGTAGCGACTGCATCGGCGCTACCGCAGTCGTTGCAAGCTGCTGCGCCTCGTCAGCTCCCTGCGAGGCTGCGCCTCTGCCCAGGCCGGCTGCTGCGCCTCCGTCTCGGCCGCGGGTCGCCGGCCGTTGCACTTTCGCTGCGTCTCCGACTGCTGCAACTCCGCCGCGTGTCGCCGGCTGCTTCGCCTTTGTCTTCGTCGCGCGTCGCCGGCTTCTGCACCTCCGCCAAATCTCCGCGATGCTAGCCTTCTCGATGAGCCACTTCATCTTAGCTGCTACAATCCTGGTTTTGTCCTCTTTTCTCTATAGCTTGTGGGGCCTCGGTCGGGGTCGGGGACCCGTAGAGGTCGGGGGCGGGGGAAGCTTTTCACCCGAAGATGGTACCGGGGCCGGGGGCGGAGGATAAAGTCGGGGGTCGGGGCCAGGGCCGTTCCTGTCCAACCCGGCCCCGCCCCGCCCCGTTGCCATCCCTAACAAGCGCGTGCGTGCATGGGCCTTAGTGGGCCGGCGTGCACGCCGGCAACGCGTACGCATGAACAAATGTAGCAAGAAGAGACAAATATGCTATCATGCTAAATGTGTTATAGGAGAATTTGACTGGCCATAGAGCGGAACAAGCACCAAATCAAGCAAGTTGGCTGCGGAAATATAATGAGTAATGACATCCTTTCAGGTGCAGACCCAGGGTTTTGAAGTTGTGTATCGAAAATGTAACAGCCAAAAGCCTAATATCTACCATGCGCTAATTATTGAAATGAGCCACTAAACTTGCGTGAATTGGGCTTAGAAAGAGGACGTGACTCCCGCTCGGGCGGCCGATGGGAGGAGATTAAAATCGGGCGCTGACATAAGCATGACGTCAGCACCCGATTTACGTGCAAAACTACTTTAAACTGATTTTTCTCTTAAATTACTTATCCAAATCATGATCCGATTGCACCATTAAATTCGTTGCAATTAAATATTCAAAAGAAGACTACACATGGATATATTCCAACGAAAAAAAAAAGCTTATTATTGAATTATTTTTAAATGTTGCACAATATTCCACCAGGTATATTGGAATTGTTTCACTAAGTAGATCGAAAATGTTTCACTCGTTTAACTCGGGTGTTGTTTCACCTTATATAAAAATAATGTTTCAGCAAATACCGACAGAATGTTTCTGTTCACTGCAGCATTAGATCTATATATATAGTGAAACATTGTGAGTACACTAGGTAAAACATTTTTCGGTAGAACAAAAAATAAACCAAATTCTCTTAATAGGGGGTTTCCAAAATATGTGGGTTTTTTTTTTGCAATGGAATGTTTCGTTCACCGTAACATTAGATGTATACATAGTGAAACATTTCTTGTGGAACAAAAAATAAACCAAATTCCCTTAATAGAGAGTTTCCAAAATATGTGGGTTTTTTGTTGCAAAAGAGTATTTTAATTCACTACAACATTAGATTTATAAATAGTAAAATACTGTAAGTACACTAGGTGAAACATCTTTTGTAGAAAAAGAGGAGAGAGAGGTGGGTAGGCCCAACAGGTGCGCACGTGGAGGAGGGGCGCGCGGGGGGAGCGTCTGATCCGGCTCCCCCGCACCGGTCGCCCGACTTTAAGGATTTTCCTTAGAAAAGATGGTTTTTTTTATTTCTGTTTGGAATACGCCCTTCATTTCTTTTTTTTTTGGGTCCAATAACTGTGTATTCAATTGAAAACTTGGGTATCCTTTCGGAAGTAGGAATTCCACAGGATTTTCCACAAGATTCGTCCGGTCTAGCTAGGTGCTGAACTGGAAAGTTTATTTACCATGCATATCTCCTCTAAGCTAGCTGTTTGGTAGTGACGCCAAGTTTTGAACTAGGTAGACAGCGTTTAATCCCTTCCTACGGCCGTTCTGCAATAAGAGCAAGTTCAATAGTATAGCCAACTACTAGCTCCAATTTATCTACAGCTAATCTAATAGCTCATTCATACAATAGTTACATACTACACTATTAATACCTAGTCCCACCAGTCATACACACACTATATCTTGGAGCCCGTGCTACAGCTGGCTGTAAATCTGTAGCCCGCTACTATTCTCTCTCCTTATTTATCTTAAAATATATTTTCAGCTGGCTTATAGCCTGCTATTGTACCTGCTCTAAAGCGTATTGGGTTGGTTAGTAAGCATCATGAGCCTTTATAGGATGGCCCATTTTCACCAACAGAAGGCGGGTCATCGGTTTTCCACGTAAAACCGTCCGATTCACACAGAATGCATATCCGGTCTTTGTAGCAAACCGACCTAGTAAGAAGGATTGTGGTTCTGTTTTTTACGATACAACCGTCAGTCTCGTCTTTTTTACTATGGTTATGCTCCATGTAGGTAGATTAACTGAAGTTTCATATGTCCATCTACCTATTTATGACAACACTTTAGAAAGCAACGGTATAGTATGACTTAGTATTTACTCAACTTCGTACTTTTTTTAGGTTATTTCTTGATTAGCAGTTGTGATACGATAGCACCCCTAATAATAACATTAGTGTGAATAACTGCCATCATCATTATTTATTACACATCCTTGCACTATAAGCTAATTGAACCGACAATTGAATAGTTCACCAAGACATGGGGTCCACGATGCATGGTTTGATTCACTACTGCATTGCATATTTAATTTTTCTGTACAAGACCCTAGTATGTTGTAGACGAACCATAACTCCTGCACACAGAAATCATTTCGGGGCGAGTGGTTCAAGGGCAACATGTGAAGATTTATTTTTCCATGCGGCCTCTTAAAGGCCACATGCATGTGATTAACATGGAGAGCAAATGATCCTCAACCCCACTACAGCCACCCATCCTTATCCTCTCCCCACTCTCTCCTCACTTACATCTCCCTCCCCTACTCTCCTAGTCCCCCCCACCTTCTCCACTGCTCCCCTCCCTCTCTCTAACGTAACATCCCTGCTCAAATTGACCGGGAGCGGCAGCGACGACAGGAGTAGCCGTCGGATCCATCATCGACGATCGATCGTGCGAGGGTGGATCTAGCATCGATGACAGCGGGACTGGTGGATCCATCGTCGGCGACCACTGGGCAGGCAGATTCATCACTGACGACGGTGAGGCGGTGGATCCAATGCCGTTGACCGAATGGCGGGCGAATCTAGCACCTACGACCTTGGGTAAGTCATCGATCGGTTGGGAAGCCGAATTGGGTGGTCGGGAGGCCAGACCAGCCCCCATAAGGCGGCATGGCGGGAGGCTTCCCTCTCCTGCTTCATTGTGCCAGTGGCCATGGGATGGCCGGCATCGGCACGGGCGACCTCAGGAGGACGGGATCCGGTGCCTATTCTCCTCTACCTCTTCATCGTTGTCGTGTGCCCCGGGTCTGCATCGCCGGCCTTCTTTCCTCCTCCTCTTCGTCTCCTTCCCTCGGTCTCCTCTCCTCTGCCTCTTCGTCTCCTTCGCTCGCCTCATCTCCTCCGCTGGACTCGGATCTATTGCTGCATGTACTATGTTTTGGATGAAATTCTAGTTGTTCATGTTTGTTCTTGTTTGTTTGTAGTCTATGTTTGTGGATGAATCTTTGCTTAATGTTCTTTGTACAATTTGTTTGTGGCGTGTAGATGTGGATGGATCTATGAATGTTGTGTCATGTGGATGCATATCTTAGGGTTTCATAATTCTTTTATTTTACATTTTTTGCTGAAATGTGTTATCGCGTGCGTGCGTCTTAATGCAGCGTATGGAAAAAATATCTTTTTAGGCGGACTGCACAACTCATCCGCTTGCAAAAATAGATTATCGCATGGGCCACATTAAGAGGTCCGCTTGCGAAAATCGATTATCGCATGTGGTTGGGCCGCCCGCATGCGAAAATACTGATTTTCGCAAATACCTGCGTGTGGACGGGCCATCTATCCGCCTACAAAGATCTTTTTTTTGTTGAACGACTTGCACCAGACAACGTGAAGTTCATATTGATAGAGCATAAAAAAAATTACAAGATTAAAACCCTGGGAGGTTGTAACCAGAAAAACGAAGAAAAAAAGCCACCGCCCCACGCACCGACAACACCAGAACACATATCCGGGCGAAGGCTTGCACCGGACCGATCACCTCTATGCGTGACTTGCCGCTGCTAGGCCGACAATGGAGCTAAAGCCAGGATCGCCCAAAATTCTATCCTAACTGTATGGATAAACCTTTTTTTAAGTAGTGATTCTACTAATCTAGTTTCAGAGTGTAATTCAATTACGAGATCCACCAACAGAAAGAAAGGATCAACCTTATTCCTTTGCCTTTGTGATAATTTTGGTTTGCTTCCTGCAGTGGTAGTACTAGAGGAAATAATACGATGGTTCGATTTTTGCCTCGTGTGATGATTTGGCGATCGGTCACTATGTGAATTGGTTTGGTTGGATGTGGCATGGTTTGATTATCTCATGCATTAGAGATGGCCTTAGGTTGCATACGCTAGTATGGGCTTCAAAATTATATAGTACCTCCTCCGTCCCATAAAAGTAGTCGTTTTACCAATTGCTAAATATCCTGTAAAGATTGTCGCTGCAGTTCTGTGATGCCATTACTACTTCTCCCGGGTGATTCTGGTCCATTCATTTGAACTGAGTGCATACATATTAATTCTTTTTTATTTCTCAAGCACTTAAACACACTAACGACTGGAGGGCACATTGGTACTTATAACTGTGAGCTAATTTATCTCATAATTACTAGAACATCAACTTTTGTGGGATGGAGGTATACACAAAGAATTGAATTAGGGATAACAACGTAAATAATCATCACATTGTTATCCCTAATTCTTTTGCTGAATTCTACTTATAATTTTTTTTATTGGAAATCGCGTACTCCCTCCATCACAAAATATAATAATTTGGAACTAGATGGGACACATCTTAGTCCAATAAATCTGTATAAGTGGTTCAAATTCATTGGACTAGGATATGTCCCATTCAGTTTTAAGTTGTTACTCCTTTCGGTTTTATAATTCTTGACGTTTTGGACGATGACACGATCTCTAAAATATATCTTTGATTATGTTTTTCTATTATAACTAGTAGTACTCTAGTTAAGTAGATACTTTCATACTTCCAGTCTGTGATGTTCCGTCACTGGTTACGACTAAAACGAGATGCTCTCGATTTAGATTTTACGATCTTATATACATGACTAAATCGGATCAATCTTATATATACCAGGCGTACAACAGAAGGTCTAGACTCGGATTCAGCTGCTTGGTTCAATTTCGGATTCTGCTGATTAGTGGATGTTCGGAAGAAAATAAAAGAGCACTCGGCATGCAAACAACAACTCTGAGCATATGGTCGCCGATTTGTTTTGTTGCTGAGTCCGATTTGTTGCTGGAGTCCGATTTGTAGCAGGATTCTTTTGTTGCTGGAGTCCGATTTGTACCAAGATTCCCGGGATATAAACTGTGACCGCCTGATCCCTTGTTCGCCCGCATCAACCACTTCTTGTTCCTGGTCCTCCTCTTGCGTGGTTTCGCCCTTCCGGGCCGGCGGCCGGCCGTCGCCGTCGACGTCGACGCAGCCGTGAGAGATGGACCAGGAGATAATGAAGAAGCACAGCGCGTGGCTTAAGCTGCTCCTCGGGCCCAAGAAGCCGGCGAGGTCGGCGGCGATCGTCGAGACGTGGGCGGCGGACCGGTCGAAGCTGCTCCTCGGGCCCAAGATCGCGTCGGGGTCCAACAGCCGCATCCACCGCGGCATGTACGGGGAGCAACCAGTGGCCGTGAAGATCATGCACGCGCCAGTGGGCGACGACGACGACGACGTGCAGGTCCGGCGTGAGATGGAGGCGCAGTTCGACGCCGAGGTGTCCCTCCTGTCGCGGCTGCGCCACCCCAACGTCGTGCGGCTCGTCGGCGTGTGCCGGGAGCCGGAGGTGTACTGGATCATCACCGAGCTCATGCGACGCGGCACGCTCAGCGCGTACCTGCACGGGCGGGAGCCCTACTCGCTGCCGCCGGAGACCATCGTCCGCCTCGCGCTTGACGTCGCCCGTGGCATGGAGTACCTCCACGCGCGTGGCGTCGTCCACCGCGACCTCAAGCCGGAGAACCTGATGCTCGACGGCGGCGGGCGCGTCAAGGTCGCCGACCTGGGCACGTCCTGCCTCGAGGCCACCTGCCGCGGCGACAAGTGCTCCTCCAAGGCGGGCACGTTCCGGTGGATGGCGCCGGAGATGATCCACGACAAGCGCTGCAACCGCAAGGTGGACGTGTACAGCTTCGGCCTCGTGCTGTGGGAGCTCACCACCTGCCTCGTGCCGTTCCAGAACTTGAGCCCCGTGCAGGTCGCCTACTCCGTCTGCGACAGGGACGCCAGGCCGCCGCTCTCGCCGTCGTGCCCGCCGGCCATCAACAGCCTCATCAAGAGGTGCTGGTCCACCGAACCAGCGAGGCGTCCCGAGTTCAAACAGATCGTGTCCGTGCTGGAGAGCTACGACCGCTGCCTCCGGCAAGGCCTGCCAATGGTGGCGCTGCCGGAGCCGTCGTCATCGCCGCTGGCCTCGTTGCTCGGCGCCTTCAAGATCCGATCCTGCACGAGCACAACGCGTTCCTCCATAACCGATCATAGAAGAGTTCATCCTTAGTCTCAACTGCATCGTGATGACGACGAAATCAAATCCATCGGTCAGATATCAGAATTGGATGTAAATGTATTGCATGTTCGATCAATTCGTTCATTCATCTGAATTTCTGACTCGATATATTATTCTATATGAATCATAACCGAAAGCCTTACTCTTTGGAACTTGTCGCCTGCGAACAAAAACAATATAATCATACCAGAGAGGGGAAAATCCTATCCTAATAAACCCTATGTCAATCGTATTTCCAATAAAATTTGGTATAGATAAGAGCAACTCGTGATTCCACTCAAAATTCCCAACTGATAGTTTTCATCGATTTCTCCTCGGTCGTTTGATTTCTCGCGCGGTCTGTAATATATGTATGTTCATGCGCTCGTGCGCCGGACGCTTCGAGTGACAAACGTCCTTAGATTGGTGCTTCCTCCAACACAGTGTGCGCCGCCTCACCGTCCTCCGCGCGCCACCTAATGCGCTGGTCTCCTCGATGCCGCCGCCGCCCACGAGATCTCTTGAAGCGCCGTCTCCCCTCAGGACCTACGATGAGTGCACCGCCGACGCTGGCCTCAAGACTGCTGGCCTTCAACTGACGCCCAAGAAGGAAGCCGTCTCCCCTCCGCAAGGACGGATGCCGTCCCTGCCGCCGGCCCACGTCGAGCTCATCCACAAGCCCGACGACTGCGCCAAGCACTTCCACCGCCGCACGTCGCCTGCAACCCGACGTGCCTCTTGCTGCCTTTGTACCACGGCCTCGGGGCAGCAATGTCCTCGGCCTGCGATGATTTGTTGTTGGATTTGTGATTTAATTTTCTAGGATGATTTGTTGATGGATTTGTGATTTCGTGATTTAGTGGATTTGTGATTCAATGTTCTATCGTTTCTGTATTGTCGCTCAGATGAATCGGATTGGGAGGGAGGTAATACATGGAATTAGGTTTCTTGTGGGGATCAAATTCATGAGGTCGAGATTAAATTTGGTATTGGTATTTTCGTGTTATTTTTGGTTCTGGTTGATTGATCGATTTGGGGAATTGGGGATCTAGCTCGGGGATTTTTTTAGACAGACTCGAACTCAAACGAACGAACCAAAAGTTTTGGAGGGACGGACGAAAACGTAATGACGGACGCATGTGACGAAAGGAAAAATACGAATATTTTAATTAGTTAAGATATATACACAAAATGTATGTTTACTTTTATTATAGTATTTTATAAGATAAATCTATATATGTTATTCTAGTGTCTTTAAATTGAATAATTTTAAAGTTATTTATAATCAAAGCTATAAAAGTTTGATTTTAATATTATCTTAAACGTTAAGAATTATGTAATATTTTAGGATGATCATTAGCGTGAGTCACGCTGGATTCATGAGAAAAACCCAGTTTTGGCCATTTAGACGGCGGCCCCACCTACCAGCGGCGGCAGCAGCATTAACCTCCTACGAGGCTACTACGACTATATATGAAGCAGTCTCACCCACCCGACCCAACCGAACCAACCCGGCTATTCCATTCCCCTCTCATTTGGACCCCAAGGCCCATCCCAGGTCGCACGCTGATCTCCGCACCCGCCACCCGCAATGGTGGTGTCCGATTCCCCGAAACCCCAACCAACCCCCTCGCCGCCGGCGCCACCCCCACTTCCGGTCCCGGCGGCGGCGGGGACGACGATGGGGGAGCTGGAGGCGGCCATCGAGGCGCTCGCCGCCAAGAAGCTGCGCCTCCGCGAGGCCTTCGATTGCCTCGTCGCCTGCTCCCCCATCCCCATCCCCTTCCGCTGGGACGACATCGACGCCCACGTCTCGTCCATCCAGTCCTCCGTCGCCGGCCGCTTCCGCCAGTTCCAGGCGCTCCAGACCGCCGCCACCGCTGGAATAACGGCGGCCCCGGCCACCAGCAACGCCAGCAGCCGCGTCGAGCGTTCGGTCGAACACCTTGTGGTGGTGGTGGAGGGCCAAGAGTCCCACGTCGCGCGCCATGAGGACGGTGGAAACGGTGAGGGTGAGGGTGAGGGTGAGGGTGGGCTAGGCAAGGAGGTGGCTATGGACGTAGAATCCGAGGAGGAGAACGGCATGGTGGTGGAGGTGGCAAGCGAGGCGCCTCGCGGAGAAGACGGTGAGGTGGAGGAGGACGAGAAGATGGGGGGGCCAATCAATGCGTCTCCTCCTAGCGAAGAAATCCATGGGAAGGGCGCGGACATGTCGAGAAGATGGGGGAATCCCATGGAAATGTCGGCCGACGTGGACGATGCGAAGACCAAGACGACGGCGACGGCGGCGGCGGCGGAACTGACGGCGATGGCGATCTCTCCGATTCCGGGATTCACAGGCAGAGGGGGCGCGGAGGCGTCGCTGAGGCGGTCTCTCGCGGCGGCGTGCGCGAGCATGGACTCGTCGAGCCTGGCGCGCATCCTGTGCTCGTCCGGCAGCAGCAGCAGCAGCCACGCCACCCTCGCCGCACGTCACTTCCGCCCGGCGCTTCTCGCCGCCGCCGAACCCGCGGCGCTCGTCGTCCGCGCCGTCAGGGACCTGCTGGCCGGGACGGCGCCCATCAGGGACAGCGCGTGGGAGAGCTGCGTGGAGCTGCTCAGCTGCGTGCCCAAGCTCGCCGTGGCGCCGTCGCCGGGCACGATGGAGCAGGCCAATCGCTTGGCCGAGGACTGGAAGGAGATGATCGGGAGGACCGAAAGTTGCAGCATGAACCTCGGCCGGTTGGCTGTATGGGGCCTTCTCAACTTTCTTGTCTCCTACAACATTGTCCTGGAGTTCGACGCGGAAGAAATCATCCATTTCTTTGGCACTCTCCCGGACGACAAGAAGCAGTGTTGCATCTCCCTCTGCAAGTATCTTGGACTGATTGACAAGATGGCTGGTACAGTTTCAATGCCTCTTACTCATACTCATTGCTCAACTATAATTTCATATGTTTGTAGGCAACTTATGCTACACATCTAGCGCAATTGTCGCGGATATGGAAATTCATTGATTTGTGCTTGTGTTCACATTCTTTAATGATAAGCTTGTTTAACTCCATGTCCCAAGCCTTCTTATGTTATATTTAGTGGCCATAAATTTGTTTATCATCTAACTGAATCAGTAGAAATTATGTTTTACACTTTTAGTCACAGTTAATACAGAGCATTAATTTGCATCCTAAAATGGTGACCTCAACATTATATTTGCATTTGCTAGTAAAAAAGTAATCTCATGAACATTTTCTATATCCAAAAAGGGTTCCATGTGGACTTATGATTATCTCTCATTATTTCAGATTCAGTTGGTCATTTGATTGAACATGGACAACAACTTGTCGCTATCAGATTGGCATGCACTTTGAATTTGACAGACAAATACACTCCACTTTCCATCATGGAAGACTATATTCAGAATGCTAAGGAGACTGCTCAAGAGATACTGAGCATGGAAAGTGATTCAGAGTCACTGGTATGTCCCTTTTTATGCAGTAGCTATCTCATTTATATTTTCTACTCGTTTTTCTAACCAAAATTTCAAATCCGTGTGAATATGAATGGAAGAATAGTTCATTCATGTGCTCTAGAGCATGTAGCTCTTCACGTTGCAGAGTTAGAAAAAAAAAACTATATTCCTTTTTCTAATGTAACCCTCTTATGATTTAAAGGTAAACAACTGGTGTTTCCGGCTTTGTAAAAACTGTACTGCACAACATTCTGAAGCACGTAATTAGGATGTTTTCAATGTAATGATTTATTTAGGATGTAGTGGAGTAGTGAGTAATTTCAAATTATATATTCATATTGCTTTTAGAAAATATCATATTCAATTTGTGAAAAATCACTGCAGATCATTTGGCATGGTAAATGATTGCTTCCACATACTGATATACAAATATGCTTATTTTAAAATTGGTTTAACACACCTGATGCATCTTGTATTGAGCAGAAACTGTCCATGTCAAAGCAGGTCAATGCTCTAATATTGTCATGGAGGGTTGTTGGTGAATGCAATATTGACTCTGTCCATTGTGATAGAATTAAGGCAGAAATTACCCAGCTGTTGCATAAATATGCAAACAAGAGGCACAGCCTAGAAGAACTTCCTTCTGATACTTCTAGTCCACATCAGAAACATCACCAAATGTCGCAAGAGAAGCACCACTGGCAGCAAAAGCATCGAGAGGAACAACAGCAGCAGTTTCAAAATCAATCCAAGGAACAAGAACAAGAGAGAAGGATGCAAAAGTTACGAGAGCTGAGGAAAAAGAAAAACAAGAGAACTCAGCGCAGGAAGCGGAAGCAAAATGCACAAGTGATGAAGCAGCATCAATTTGAGAAACAGCGAAAACTATATCACGCTGGTTCATTTACCAATTCTCAAAGCTATGTCAGATCAGAAATTCACCACCACCTCAGCCAGCATTTTTCAGGAACTATAGGAACACCTGTTGCACCATATACACCTGTTGCACCATATACCGGACCTTTTTGGTAGCTAGGGTCCATATATAATGGACCGGGTTCATCCTGCCTACATTCAACTATTCAAGTCAGAGTAGTAGTACTTGATACCATTACTGTTTGACTGAACTGAAGATAAAGATAGTAGAAGAGAACGGAAATTGCGCTGGTCGCAGAAAAACAGAAGTCAATGCTGATTGGCCAGTGTAGCTTTGCACTGATTCAAATTTATCTTGTTGCACTACTACTTTCTATATGCAATGTACAATTAGTTACTTTCATGGTGCTGAATTGTTATTAATCAGCTTCCGTGGAGGCTCCTAATGCCTCCGCTAGGTCGGTTGGTTCATCTTGTGGTCTAGGTTCACTCCCAAAGTAAGTTTTATCCCTTGGATGCCCTTACATTTTTGGCTGATAGATGGTTGTGAGGTGGGCTATGCCGGTTAACCAGTGTGTGTGGCCCCGACCAGTCTACCTGTAGGATGATCGGACCTCCACGTCAGGTTAGTTGGCCTTTGGTCGGCCAGGCTAAGGTGGTCGGTCGGGCTTGGGGTGGCTGGTTGGCCTAGCTAGCCCTTAACCTCCTACCTGAGGAGGTGTTGGCTAGTCAGCTAGCCCACCCTCTGATCGGCCGGCCAGGGCCCTTGGCTTGGTTAACACAATTTTCTTTGAATATAATGCATTTCACCTTTATTTGAATGCAACTTGCAAAATAACTAAGACATGACAAAACTAGGAAACCATTACTCTCAACCAAATCAATGCATTGAACATTATTTTACCTGTTTTTGATGCCGAATGTTGGTGGCCAAAATGAGCTTTAATGATCGCCAACCGCCACAAAAGAATCAACAAAGGCCTAAAGGTCCTGTTTGTATTTTAGTCCCTGTCACATCGAATGTTTAGACACCAATTAGAACTATTAAACGTAGACTAATGATAAAACCCATTCCATAACCCTGGACTAATTCATGAGATGAATCTATTTTGGGCCTAATTAATCCATGATTAGCCTATGTGATGCTATAGTAAACATGTGCTAATTATAGATTAATTAGGCTTAAAAAATTTGTCTCACGAATTAGCTATCATTTATGCAATTAGTTTTATTATTAGTCTATGTTTAAATATCTGATGTGACAGGGACTAAAATTTAGTCCCTCGATCCAAACACCACCAAAGTTAGATGATCAATTGCCTATCATGATTATAGAAAATTATGGAATTGAGACAAGGAATATTGTTACAGTCTATCAAAAGCCTTACCCTGATTATTTTTATACAATCCCATATCCTCCTAGTTTTCCTGAATTTGTGAAATTTAATGATGAGGATAATAGAAACGTATAGGAATATATAGACCAATTTCTAGCACAATGCGGTGAAGCGAGCAATGCCGATGTTTTCAAGTTATGCTTGTTTTTCTCTTTCTTTATCCGACAATGCCTTTATTTGGTTTATTTCTTTACCTGCAAATTCTATTTATACTTGGACCCAGTTAGAACAAATTAAATTTCTATGATTATTTCTATACTGGGGAAATTGAGCTTACATTATCTGATTTAACAATGATTAGGCAAAGGTACAATGAATTTGTGATTGTTTTATTCAAGGGATTTAGAGATACTAAAAACCGATGTTTTAACTTGTCTATTACTAAAAGAGATTTGGCCGATCTTGCATTCAATGGTTTAATTGCTCCGGTCAAAACTTCTTGATGGCCACAACTTCTTGATGTTGGTCAAGTTTTGCAAATGGCTCTATCTTAAGAAAGTTGCGCTAGAGAAATAAGAAATTTATTATATCTATTGACAAATAACCTAGTGTGAATATATTTGAACATTTTGATGATGAATTCGGATGAAGAAGAACCTGACGTGTATAAGGCCAAATGGTCCTGGACTAACAAGAACAAACCATTTGTTTGCTCAAATTAAAATCGGACACACTACAAGGATCAACAAACTAAAATCAAGTGTACTTTTGATGTGTCCATGTGAAATAAAATCTTTGATTATATCTTGCAAGAAATATTATTTTGCCTAAAGGCCACATACCATTGCCTAGGAGTTAATTAAAACACTGTGCACACTGTAAATGGTATGGTTCTTATTCACATGCTATTAATGATTGCAATGTTTTTCATCAATAATTTCAATCATCCATTGATAAAGGACAATTGTAGTTCATAGATGGTCCAAAGATGAAGTTTGATCATGAATTATGATCCCTTCTTGGTAAACACCATAGAGTTTGTTAATGCGAAAGTGTTGATTTGGTCTAGTTATGTTGAATTCACAAATGGGAAGAGTATGATTGTTGGTGAACCTTAGCCAAAGATGATCAAACCAAAAGGCCGTGAGATTGGAGTTTGGAAAGTTAATACAAATGAAGCCTTTAGCTCTAATATGGTGATAAAGGCAAGATGACCTTCAATATGTTTATAATATGAGAGATGAAAAGTCGGACAATGATCGAGTGGTCGGCCTACCGATGCAAAGAGACTAAGATCACCTCCTAGGGGGTGATTTGTCCAAGCACCTAAACAATTGGAGCAACGGTTTCCATATGGGCCTCAAATCATGGCATGGAATCCATGTCCAACACTTCTGCCTAGTTGTCACTTTCCATACTTCATGCTATGGGGATGCCAGCACCGGTGCATATTCCTTATCTACCATCCCTGCCAATACAATTTCATCAAGGAGTGGAAACCAACGAATTCAGTTCATGATTGCTTCTCCGCTACAACCAAAAGCCAGTTTCAAACAAAAGAATCGGTTGACGAGTTGGAAGGAGAGAAGAAGGGCGAAAAACGCTCAAAGGTGGAGACCAAGACAATGGAGGTGATCATCATCAAAGTAGGGTTCAATGATGTCCCAATACCCATTGGAGGTATGATGAAGGCAACCTAAACCAAGGAGATCAAAGCAGGTTTTAGAGACTCTCTTGACTATACCCGCAAGTCACTAGGTGTATCCCATGTTGGCCGAAAAACACGTCAACAACATAAATGAAGAAAATGTCGTATTTGCATGCTACCAGTTGTACTACTTTATTTCTTGATGACTAGAGCAAATTAATTCAGCTAACCTGGCATTACATATATATCACGGAAGCAGTGGTGTGGAGCCACCCATAAGGCTGTATGGTCTGCTGACCCCACAACTTTTCCACAAACGCCCTTATGATTCTGCATCTTTATATGTAAATCCATTAAAATATATTAAAATAATCCCACTAAAATGTGAAGCAATTATATTTGACCGCATAATAAAATTCCTGGCTCTACCACTTAATAGAAGCACTTATTACGTACCAACCTTGAGGAGGCTAAAAGTGGTATTTACCCGTTAGCAAAAGTGTATTAAAACTCACCAGTTTTCACCGGACCAATGACAGTTAGAGTTTTAAGCAGATATTTAACAATTAGCATCATTGGTAAGACTAAAGCTATAATAATAGCCCACAAACCAATTCCTTACAAACCAGTTTGAAACTTTGAGTTGTTAAAATTGTTTATATAAGAAGTGATAATTTGTTATTAGAAACCATCCAGATATATGCATCATGGTTTTGAGTTTTTGCAGTATTTTAATTAAGTTGCTATCATAATTTTCACTTTTGTAGTCACTTTAAAGCTGATTTTATTGGCCTTAGCACAAGATTTGAGATGTGCCCGCGACTTACGTTGATTCAATGGTTATAAAGTCTGTTCTACTTACCAAATCAAGATGTGAACATCACTACAGCTTGATGAGTACATGAGAAAATTCATGAGGTTCATGGTTTATCTGTCATTTTTTTTATTAAACTCCAAATAAAAAAAAACGGAATTGCTGTATATCTGTCGACAGATTTTTTGTTAAAAATCTGTCGATTTCTTCACCGTATGATTTACTTTGAGATTTGTGCGTGTGCCTTCGAGTGAAAAAAAAATGACGCTAGAGCAGGGAATCGACCACATGATGTCGGGATGCCATGACGTGCATCGTACCAACTGAGCAAGAAGCGACTGATTATTTTGCTGCTATACCTAACGTTTTTAAAACTTTCACCGCAGTTTCATAGTTAATTACAGTGTAATTTTTAATAGATGCAGGTGTAATTTTTGTTTTACATGGATGGTAATTTTTTTACTCATGGTTGTTTTGTTATACTGTAGTTAACCTAATTGTTTGAGGTGTGATTTGATATTTTCGGACTATATATGCCGTCATATTTTTCATAAAAAAATAATCGGCACGTATTTACATCGTAAATCTTCAAATTTACATATGTAATTTTAATATATTTACGCTATAAGTTTTAAAATTACATATGTAATTTTAATATATTTATAGCGTAAGTTTCAAAATTACATATGTAACCCCTAAAATTACATGCGTAAGTTGATGTAAGTTGCTTGTTTTTCCTTTTCTTTTTAGCAGCATCACTGACGTGATTAATGTCCAGTGACTGACGTACATTGATACGTTTTCATTTGAGCAGCACATGGTGGTGGCTTGAAAATTCGACTGATTTTCTAAAGAAAATCTGTCGAATGATTGTTAGACAGTCCCAAAAAAAAATCCTACCTAGCACATAATGTCTGACATCGCTACATCACTACAGCTTGATGATCTAAGCAAATTCGGCAAGGCCTTTTACATCTTTTTTTTGGGGTCAAAGTAGCAAATTATTATGGTCCATTTAGTACTTTCCAACTTGCAAATTGCAGAAGTTTCTTGTCATGATTGAAATAGCCTCTCAAAAAAAAAAAACAATGGTCTATATCTACTACTCCTTTGTGTACATCCTTAAATTTAAATGGTGATACTGTATTTACTTGGCTAACTTTCTAGATTGCCCTCTTTTAAAGTTGCATAGATGTGGTTCTTCCTAGCTCAGTCTTCCCTATTAATCATAATTCAGCATACAAAATTGCACATTGATTGTCTCCAATTTTGGTGAGTTTTCGGCAAACCAAACCCAAGGAGGTGTGAAATGGTTCTTAACAAATCGTCCTATCTTAACAAAACATTTTAAATTTTCAGAACATACGTCGTACTACTAACTTCCCAAAACTGGAAGGAGTACTATGTTTATCTTGTCCTTTTACACAAACCACCCTAGACAGCTTCGCGTTCCCCATTTGGTCCTCCGCTCCGCAGCCCACGCGAGCCACGCTGACGCGTAGGCCCCACCGCTAGCGAGAGAGCAAGCGGGCCCCACACCCTCGTACTTCGCTTGCTGTAAACTGAGCTAATTAAGCTTCCAACTCTGCCTCGCCCTCGCTCTCCTCGTTTCACACTTCTCCGCTCTCGCCCTCGCCCTCGCCATGGCTGACAACCAAGCGCCGCCGCCGCCGCCGCCGCCCGCCCCGGAGAGCCCCACCGCGCCGCAGACCGCCGTTCACCGGCCGGATCTTATCCCGGACTTGAACCGCCCGTCGTTGGAGTCGATCCTGATGGCGAACGTGGAGGAGGCCGTCGCGGCGTTCCCCGGCAGGGTGGACTCTCTGCGGCAATCGTACGACCGCCTCGTCGCCTCCTCCCCCTTCCTGATACCCTTCTTCTGGGGGAACATGGAGGGCTACGTCGGCTCGGCGCAGGGCTACCTCTCGCGCGGGCTCGCCTCGCTCCACGGGCAGGGCCAGGTCCGGCACGGCGACGGCGACGGCGCCGGCCCCTCCGGTCATGCTGGTATCGCCGTCGCCGCCGTCGAGGCGGGCGGCGAGGGCATGGAAGGAGGAGCATCTTCTGTTGCCGATGAACAGGGCGGCGGAGATGGCGCCGCCATGGAGGAGGAGGCGGTTGCGCCGGTTGAGGAGGAGAGGGAGATCAAGGCGGTGGCCGTGGGAGAGGTTGCTGCTGATGACAAGGACAGCGGCGAGGTCGCTGTCAAGAAGGAGAGGAAAGAAGCCATGGATTTGTTTCCTCACCAAGGTGATGATGACGCATCGGTGGAGCCGAAGGTGGACGCCCTCCACCTGCTCGCCACCGCCACCGCCGCCAACGCCGACGCCGACGCCGACGCCGACGCCGACGCCGACGACTTTAACCACGTCGGGATGGAAAGCAAGGGTAAGGGCAAGTCTCCTGACCTGGACATCAAGGTCGAGGCCATGGATCCGTCGCCCGAGCAGGGTGCTGACATGCAGGCCGTGGTGACCATGGCGGAGACAGAGGATGCGGCGAAGAAGGCGTTCGACGCCATCGACAAGGTGGGGATCCCTTTGATGGACAGGACTGAGGAGGAAGAAGAAGAAGGAGAAGCATACCTGGAGGTGCCTCTTGACCAAGCCATGGAGATGGAGGTGCATCCTGACCAAGCCAATGAAGAAGCAGTAATGGAGGAGGTGTCTGTTCAAGAAGATGATGCTCAAGAAGCGGACATGGAGATCTGTAATGACGAAGAAAAAATGCAGGTCAAGAAGATGGAGGAGGAGGCAGATGACGGCGCCAAGCGAGCCTCTCCAGAACGTAGCAGCGGTGAGATCGTCGCCGCGGGGAAGAAGAAAGCAGCCATGTACGTGCCTCGCAACCAAGACGGCGGCGCTATCACCGACGCGTTGGTCGGAGAGATCAAGGCGGAGGCCAAGGGCAAGACGAAGAGAGCATCTCGCGAGGAGGAAGAAGACGGTAAGGTGGTCCGCGACCGTGGTGGTGCGGCGAATGCAGGGGCGGAGCGGCGGCGGCGCCGGGAGCGTGAGCCGGCGCCGCGGCGTCAGCTCGTGGCGGCGTGCGAGCGGATGGACTCGTTCGACATGGCGGAGCTCGTCCTCAGGTCCGGCCGCGGCATCGCGGGCGAGTTCCTCCCGGCGCTCCGCCGCGCGCCGGACGCGCCCGCGCTCGCGCTCCACGCCGCCGGGTACGTCCTCTCCGCGGGGCCGCGCGACGTCGACTCCACAAGCTGGGACAACCTCGCGGCGCTCCTCCGCGGCGTGCGCAGGCTCGCCACCAGCGGCAGAGCCGCGCCACCGCTGGAGGCCAGGGCGAAGGAGGCCACGGCGATGGCCAAGAAGTGGATCGCCATGGTCGCCGGCGAGGCGGAGCGCGAGCACCAGCGGGTGGCCTGGGCCCGTTCGGCCACCTGGGCGCTCCTCCAGTTCGTCGCCGCCTACGCCATCGCCGGCAACCTGGAGGTGAAGGAGATGATGGTGTTCAAAACCGTCGGCGACAGGGACGGCGGCGCCGAGCTGATCAAGAGCCTTGGCCTGCCTGACAGGGCTACTGGTAAAAATAATCTATAGCTTTAATTACAGTTCATTCCATTTTCTCAATTAATTTATCCGCGTAACCATTGTCTATCGAATCGCAAATGTTTGTGAATTTTTACTTAATTTCCACAGAAAAAAAACTGTTACGTACTGTGATCATTACATGCTAGTACTGCAGTGCATGGTGATGTTTTTGGTTATGTTTTCCTTTGTTTGTTAGAGTTAGTATCTCCTTTTGGAGTCTTCCATTTTTTCCTTCGGCAGTTGTTGCTCTAAGATTAGAGATTCTGATAGTATCCCAGTAAAGCGTAGAGTTGATACACAAGCTGAGTATATTCTTAGTTCAATCTTTTGTCCTTTTGAAGCTTTCTGGCAAAAAAAAAAAATCCCATTTGAATCCTTCTGGAAATAAGGTCCTTTGAGCTCTGCCAATTTGGACACTTTAGTGAAGTTTAATTTGGGAATTTGCTGAAATTATCATGGGAATTTAACACATTTTTTAGATATATTAGTTTTATAATTTCTATCAATAATTTATTTCTTTCATTCATTCAAATAATAGTCATAACTTGGCTTCCAAGGGGCAAATGGAGTTAGTGACACGCAAGTAAACTGAAAATATATTTTCTATTTATCTGCAATTGGTGCATGTATTAGTTGCATCTTACTCTTTTAAGTCTCAATTAGGTTTGCACTCATTGTTCTTGTCATATATGCATAATTCTATTTTTTTTCCTATCAAATGTTATGTTTTCAATGATCAAACTGAGTCTTGGTCAACTCATGGGCTTGTCTATTACATTGGGTTTTCTTTTGTGGTATGCAACCCAATATCTGCTACTAGATTTATTTTTGCTAATTAAGTATGTACTCCCTTGGGTTTATAATGTATGACGCTATTGACTTTCGGATATACGTTTGATCATTTGTATTATTAAAAAAATTATGCAAATATAAAAAATGCAAGTCATGCTTAAAATACATCTAATAGTAAAACAAATCACAAGAAATTAAAAAAATAATTATGCAATTTTTTTAATAAGATATGTCAAACTTATGTGCAAAAAGTGAACGGCATCATATGTTAAAGAACCGAGATATATTGAGATGCATCATTGTTCCTAGCCATTGTTTGCCAACTCTCCCATGTTAGCATTATCTTTTCCATTTTTTCCCTTGGATGAAGGCAGTTATGTTGTGCTGCTGGGTATGCATTAGTGCCATGATGATTTGGGTATGATCAAGATTAAACTGATGCAAAATCATGTTATGATTATCTTCTAGTGGATGAACACATTTGCTATATTGTTTAATTCATAAAAAAAGGTGACTAGGCATCAGTTGGCTGACATTGCGTTAAGTGTCAGTCAATTGCAATCAACTCCCACATATTCAATCCAATTGACGAAGAATACATTTCTTCTGTCTCTAGCACTTTCTGCCACAGTTTCTATCTTCTACCTGATTCATCTTATCGAAGAGCTCCCTTGTCCCAGATCCACTGGCACCAGTCACCACTCACCACCTGCTAAGACCAGCACCATAGGTCTTCAACTCCTCATCACCCACAGCTCTGGTGGTGCCACCATTGCTTCACCGTACTACTCTCACCACCAACCTGCCACCTCCCAAGGCCTCCCTCTATAGCCCAGCCTCGATGAAGCAAATGCTTCCTGATTCCCATTCATGCCTTCTCCTGGCCAAGTTTTGGTCCTTCTTTAATCATGTTGTTCTAGTTGGTAAAACAAATCATTGAAGGAATCTTTAGCTACAAAAAAAAAACCTAATGCATATGTCCATTTGCTCTTCTAGGAGTAAGACCATGAAAGTTCCCTACATAGGAGAAATGGTAGCATTAGCATTGCACTCTATGGAGGTGCAATACAATTTGTAACTGAAATGTCAATTTATCGATGTGAATGTCCCGTCAAATCCACTGTATGTTAGGTGATTATCCAAGATGGGTTAATGGCAAGGAATATCCCCTACAGTATGAATGGTGTCCATGAAGATTGGATCACCTAGATGCTTTGTTCGCATACAAGGTTTCATTTGCAACTACAAAAAGAAAATCCATTGACTTAGCCAATGACATGGTGTAAGGGGTGTGATTTGTTAGGGCCACCTAGTTCTCATACTAAGGGGGTACCCAGGACTGAGCCAAGGCCTGAGCCATCCCACCCTAGTATAGGAGGAATAAGTCCTCAAATATAGGTCCAATCTAATTTGTATCCCTTGACCGCAATACCAGATATCTTTTACCCCCTCCCCCAACTATCAATACTGATGCAATTTGACCCCTTTAGTGGTTTTGAGACTAGTTTTCACTGACATGGCACGTTGACTTGGTCCAGCTGTGCTGACGTGGCAGCTCAATCACAAATTAGTAGTGAGGCCCACATGTAAGTGACTAGGGGGAAAAAATAAAAAAAATGTAGAGCCCACTTGTCAGCCCCCTTCTTCCCTCTCTATCTTTTCCCCAAGCTCAAGTTTGGCCCCAACAGCCTCGCCCTGGCATCGCCGCAGCTAGAGGAGTGGAAGGGTCTGCAACGGGACGGATGATGGGGTTGGCTGGTGAAAACGGATGGAGACAACGATGACACATAGAAGGAGAGTGGAGGCACGCGAGTGCAGACGGGTTCAAGAAGAGGGCACTGAGCTCTGGTCGAAGTGGGAGTAGGAAGAAGGGGGTAGCTTCCATGGGTCATGGCGGCCACCACCAGACAACATCGCGGCAACGAGGCTACTGAACATTGTGCTGGCAACTGCCGCAATAGTGCCGCCAGACAAAACTGTGGCCGAGAGGATGTCCAAGGAGCTGTCAGCCACGAGCCCAATGTGTGTGTCACCGCCATCAAGACTAAGGTGCAGGAGCAAGATCTCACTACCACACTATCGGGAAGCTACTGCGGGGGCATCATGCGAGGACCCCTAATGTCGCCTAGCTCCCTCGAGCTCGTCTGCCCCGTTGCCTTGCCTTGGTATTGTAGATTCTTCGCTACTATCGCCTTGCTGCTACTAGCCACTACCCACCGAGAAGAAGACACGGGATCCCATCGGCCTCTCTACGCTGCCATAGTAAGGAGAGGAGAGAAAGAAAGAGAGAAGAGAAGAGGGAGAGGAAGGTGGCTGGCAAGTGGGCCCCAATTTTTTTTACTTTTTCCCTAGTCACTTACATGTGAGCCCCACTTCTAATTTGCGACAAGGCTGCCATGTCAGCACAAATGAACCAAGTCAACCTGCCACGTCAGTGGAAACCACTCTTATAACCGCTGAGAGTCAAATTGCACCATTTTAAATAGTTGGGGAGGAGGGGGGGGGGGTCAAAATATCCGATATTGCGGTTGAGGGATACGAATCATATTAGAACTATATTGAGGGAGTCAAAGTGGACTTATTCTAGTTTACAATGCATTTGTGCAATTGTGCAAGCGTGCTAAAAATATATCCAATGGATCTTAAGTCCTAGGTGCTGGGATATGGCCCAGGTTTCTTAGGGCCTAGTCCACCCTTGGTCCTTATGACATAAGTCATAATTTCTTCCACCATCTTTTGGAGGCGAAGTGGATTCCAGTTGCGAAGTCTCTGACGAGCCGCAAAAGACAATGAGCTGAAAGAACTAATTGTTTGAGTATGCATTCTGTCAGAATTTCTATTTTAAATCATTTTGAGCTTTAGGACATAAGCAGCAAACATGATTCATAAATGGTTTGCTATGCCTGTTTTTTTTTCGTTTTTTGAATTCACATCTCTACTCTGTTGAGCATTATTCTCTATTTTTCAGGAAGTGACTGGTGGCATTGCTGATACTTTACGATGTTCACTGTCTTATTTGCAGAGTCAATTAATCGTCTGATGAAGAGAAGGGAACACATCGATGCTGTCAAAGTGGCTCGTGCTTTCAATTTGATTGATAAGTTCCCTCCAGTTTCTGTTATCAAAGCATATGTTGAAAAAGTAAAAGAGGCTGCTCAAGACATGGTTAGCAAGGACGCAGTTTCACTGCAGGCATTGGTATACCTTTCATCTGGTTAACTGGGACAATGGGGGATTTGTTTCCTAATTTACTTCTTTAACTAATTATGCCATCTAGATTTAATTATGCTAGATATATGCACACATGTTTGCTATAGACAAAAAAGAATTCCACATGCTCTAATGTTCTTTGAATCAAATGATTTTTCTTTTTTTTTTCATTCAACACATCTTCAGTATTTTGTTAATTTTTGTTACAGGTAGCACTTGGTGACTTTTACATTACTCTAATTATAGATTTAGCATTTATATATGTGACAATTTCATCATAAGACCTTTATGTGATAAACATATATTTGAGAACAAATAAGATTCACTACAACCAACACAACTGTTGCATTCTTTTACAAGGAGTATAGATATGAATTGTGTTACTCTTTTGCAGCCAGGAAATCCTTTTACATTGCAAAGGAGTAATATAATCATGATACATACAGCTGTATTGTCATGAACAGAAAATGATTAATTCATCATGTTTCATGAAAGAAAATTAATCTCTTTTCCAGATATTTGGTAATTTCTAAATTGGTATAATGTACTGTATGCCATCAGGATCGCGCTATGCAAGAGGATGTTGCTGCTCTGAGATCTGCTAAGGAAGCAATTGAAGCGCATGACAGTGGATCTGACTACCGCTACACTATAATGCAAGAAGTCCACAAGTTGATGAGATCTTATGAGAAGAAGAAACGGAGTTTATCTTTTGGTTCCACCTCAAGTTCACATGAGCACAAGAACAAGAGGCACAGGAGCAATCAGGCTATGCCTCGTTGGGAAAACCAAACCATACCAGGTCCTCCTGTATATTTTCCAGTCCCTCCTCCATATTTTGGTCACTACAATCCTTATCACCCCTTTGGTCCACAACCTCGTCGTAATTAAGTTGTGGTGATGCTGCTGCTGTGGTGGATTGACTAGAGTGATGAATGGATTGGATGAACAGAAAAAAGAAAGAAAGTGCACTTTCATAATTTTGCAGTAATTTGTTACTTCTCCAGCTTGGCTGCAATAACTCTTTTGGTTGTAGCATGCAGATGCACCGTTGTTGTACATGATTCAAGCTGGCAACTTGAATTCAAACCTTAAATAAGTTTCTTAGTTGTTTATCTTTAATTTTATCTGTTTGTCTGTAAATTACTTTGTGGGAGAATGTTTAGAATGATAGCAATTTTACGGTACTTGAGAAAGTACCAAGAAATACTAAATCTGTAGCGTTTGATTTCTGATACCTAGAAGGTATGAATAGGTAAATGCTAGAGAATGTGATATATCTCTTAGAATGAATGATGATCTGTCACCGGTTCTTCTTTGACTGCCACATGCTGTGGGAAAAATTAGGCCCTGATTAGTTCGCGAGACGAAAAGTTTTGGCGTGTCACATCAGATATACAGAGACACATTTGAAGTATTAAACGTAGACTAATAACAAAACAAATTACAGATTCCGCCTATAAACTACGTGACGAATTTATTAAGCCTAATTAATCCGTCATTAGCAAATGTTTACTGTAGCACCATATTATGAAATCATGGAGCAATTAGGCTTAAAAGATTTGTCTCTCAATTTACACATAATCTGTAATTAGTTTTTTTCTATATTTAATACTCCATACATATGTCCAACCATTCGATGTGACAGGGTGAAAAGTTTTTGTGTGGGAACTAAACAGGGTCTTAATGGAACTGAAGACTACGGTGTCTGAACTGTACATCAGTACATATGTTAGCTAGTTGCGGATGCAGGGTCCAGATAGTTGTGGGACTTCAAGACAATCAATCTCACCGACAACAAGAGGTCAGACCTGCGAAATGACCAGCCAGTCCCTGAGCATTGTAGAAACAAACCCCCAAGCTGCCGTTACTTTTGTCGGATGAACTACAGTACGATAAATTGTGCTAGCCAGGCTTGCTCTATCGCATCAAGCGATCAAGTCACGGCCAATTTTTAATAAGCGTGCATACTATGTAGAGGCAGTATAAAAGTTCTCCTACTGCGTACTCAATAAGCTCATTTTTTTCTCCTCTCTTTTGTCCTAAACTAAGTTTATTTTCTAGCTATCATTAGAGCGGAGTTTGTGAAAGTAGGAGTAAATGCATTGGGAGTATAAAGTGAAGAATAATTATATTGGGATTTGATAAAGTGGGGGTATTCTAATCTTAGTTCGACAATGCAAGCTGAAGCCTTGGCATGTTTGGAAGGTATCCAGCTAGCTACTGAATGGGTGAATATGCCACTTATCTTAGAATCAGATAATGCAAGTGTCGTCGCTGAGTTAAACGCGACCAATGTCTCAAGAGCAGATTGGAGTGGCATAATTTTAGATGTTAAAGCGGCAATGTTATGTTTAGTTCAGGTGCAAGTGCACAAGATAAAGAGAGATTCTAATAAGATAGCTCATGCCTTAGCCCAACTGGTAATAGAATCAGGAACTAATGCGGTCTGGAGATTATGCTCCCCTGCAGAAATTCTTGACCTCCTGAACCAAGAATGTAACCCTCTGTTTTCTCATTAATGAAATCTCTCTTTACTTTCAAAAAAAAAATAATAATCTTTTTGGTTTTTTTATATGTGTGGGATGAGTGAAAAATAAACTTATTTTTAGGACGGAGGAGAAGTAAATAAAGACCTAAGGATGGATAGCATGCGGACACAATATGCCACGTATGAAGTGTGCTAGTGTGTTCCCTACTGCATGGAAATGTATAAGAAAGTATCATATCCTTTGCCTATGCCTTCTCTCCCGAATGGGAGGGAGCCACTCACACCGCCAATGAGGAAATTGCATGGCAAAATTTGCTAAAGGACACCCAAAAAATATGTAATTAGCTGTGGGACATCGCAAAGATGTGAATTTGCCTGAAGACACTCAAAAAAAGTGGTAATTTGCTGCAAGACACTGGTCGCATTAAAATATAATATCTCCATGTAAAATGACAGTTTTGCCCTTATCTTCTCCGTTGTCCCTTTTCCCCATCTTCTTCAACGTCGAGCGCGCACCCAGCGGCCACGGCAGGGATGACGGACGTGTTTGACCAACACGGCGACCTCCTCCTCCCTGATGCAGCGGAAGAAGAGCACGCAAATGCGGCACTCCTAGCTCTAGTACTCACCGTAGGGCGCGAACGCGACGTCACAGCCGTAGAGCAGCTGCTCGGCCATAGCGCTCTTGGGCCGGCTCGTCGCGGCGAACGACGACAACCACCACCGGCATGCGTTCGAGCTAGAGTAGTAGCACCAGGCCATGTGCCGTGGTAAGGGATGGAATGCCTGGTGCAGCGGCGCGCTGAGTAGGTGGAGGTATCTGAGCAGCGGGAGCCTCCGCGGCTATGGCGGCAGCCTCTGCCAACCATCGTTGTCCTCCCACCTCTCAGGCCTATTACTCCTATTCACATCTGGAAGCAGTACGAGGTACATGAGTGCTACAATGATGTCAAGGACTAACAAGACAACAACATCTCTGCAGAATGAAGGATCCACTGAAGCAATCTGTTTATAATTGGTTACAAACTTTATAGGATCATTTTCATTTTATTTTGTTTCTTCTTGTAAATATTTACTGTAATTATTCTTTCAATAAATGAAAATCACACTGCTGGGCAAAGACCTGGCACTACTTTCAGTCAAAAAAAAACAAGACAACAGCAATGTAAGAGGGCCATTATACGCACAGCAAAGCATTTGTTTGCTTGGTTGTAGCCGCATGCGGTAGCAGGGTGGATGGATGGATGGGGGCAACACCTTACACATGTATTACATTATGGCCTGGCAACTCCAGCAAATGGGAGCGACAACTGAGGAGCGTTTGAAGAACATTGGAACAAAGAAGAAGATAAGGGTAAAAGTGTCATTATATATGGTTTCTCTCTCATCAATTGAGTAGAAATTATATTTTAATGCGTTCAGTGTCCTACAGCAAATTACCACACTTTTAGAGTGTCCTCGGGAAAATTCACGTTTTTACAGTGTCCCACAGCTAATTACATATTTTTTGAGTGTCCTGTAGCAAATTTTGCCAAATTGCATTGATGATGAGATATGAAAGGAGGAATGGGAAGGGATGACTGAAATGTAGGGAAGCTCATAGACCCATGGGAGGGTATATCAGAATGTATAGGTAGCCAATGGAGATGATGTAGAATTAGGCTGAGTTCTGGAGTGGGTTAGGAACCTTTACTCCCAGCATGAAAAACGGAACGGTCCATTAGTACGTGATTTATTTATTTATTTTATAAAAATAGATCAATATTATTATTTTTAAAGCAACTTTTCTATCGAAAAATTTTGCTAAAAACACAACGGTTAGCAATTTGAAAAGCGTGCGTGCGGAAAACGATGGAGATGAGTTGGAAAAGATGGCTGTCAAACACAGCCTAAAGGTAGCTTGGAGGGTGATGTAGGATAATGGAAAAATGGGGGGATGCAGATCCTCTGCAGTACAGCTGATGCAGTAGCAGTGGCTGACATGTGGGGCCCACATGTCAGCCACTGCTACTGCATCAGCAGTATTGCAGGCAATCCCCATTGTAAATGGGGTGAGGAAGCGGTCTGTTTTGTTTTTATTATCATTTTTGTTATAACTCTATGGAAGACACTGTATATGATGCCTTCAAATGGTAAATGGTCAATTCCTTCGTTATTGTTGAACAACATTGTTGTTAGGTTTATTCTTATATCGGTAATTGATGATGGGAGAGTACGACTTAAAAGGTGGAGATATTTCTCATCTATCAAACTTGTCTTTTAGGTTATGTAGACACAGGATCTAAAGATGTAGCTCCAATTGGGCCTGTGGTGGAGTAGACTCAATGTGATCTTGGTGGCCCACGATTAGTGGATTTGGGCTGCACACTAGGATTCCTTTGATTCATGGGATAGGAAAAACCACAAATTGAAATAGTATGTTTCTCAAATACAACAAGAATAAAAACCAGAAGAAATACAATAAGAGTCCTTTGATAGTGCCATGAGAAAGACAAAAAAAATAACAAAAAGGTCACACAACATCTTGTTATTTTTCATATGAAATGTGAAGCATAGGAATATAATCCTATGGATAGTTTCCTTTCTTCCCTATGAATTAAATGGACATGTAGAAAAAAAACCATATGAATTTGAATTTTATGAATCAAAAAATGATGTAAAGTGCATGTTCCTAGTGAGATTTATTAAAATGTGAGAATCCATGCCACTATGTTTATACTGATTCAACAATTTGCAATTGATCTTATCCTTTCTATAATATTGTTGATGTGAAAACATGGTGGCCTGGGAGATCTGCTTAACTCCAGTGCAGGTCCAAGGCTAGACTTGAGTGTGTCAAGGGCGTGCCAGCTGATTTGATCCTGCAATTAGCAAGAAAGAATAAAAGCAAAATTAGTCGACCCATAGCCGATCGGACGATAGACCGATAGCGTATCGTTGATGGTCTCAGCCGATGGAGTTAGACCAATATAGGATCGAGATGTCGACTAGATGGGGGGTGAATAGTCTATTTAAAACTAAATGGCACTTAATCAAAACTAACCTAAGTTGCTAGGCAGGGAGATGTACAAGGTTAACTAAGCAACTAAGTTAAGTTTTGCAAACCTAGGGTGATATGGGCTCAAATGTATCTCTAGGAAAGTAAATCACACACATAAGTTAAGTTTTGCAATCCTAGGGTGATATGGGGTCAAATATGTCTCTATGAATGTAAATTACACAAATGTAAATGCAACAAATAAATGAGACAAGAGACAAGAAATTTTTCACTGAGGTCCGGAAACTCGCCGGTTTCCTAATCCCCGTTGAGGCGAGCCCAACTCCACCGCTCAACCACGAAGCCACCGCACGCCCCCTTCGTCAAGGGGTGGGCAAGGTGGGAGCCGGCCCACGGAGAGGACTACCCAAGCCTCGATCACTATGGTAGTTATTCCTTCACTCCGAAAGTGGTGAACTCCAAACCACTCACAAACCAGCGCTGGGTCTCCTCCACAATCTCCTCGGAGAGGTCACCGGGCAACACCTCCACAAGCCGTCTATGAGGCGGCAACCTCCAAGAGTAACAAGCAATGACACAGCTCGGAGATGATCAAGTGCCGCACTAGCTCTACAATGAAGCAATGCACTTGACTCTTGGCTCAACAATCCCGCAAACACACTAAATGGATAAACACAAAGCTCAAGTGGGTGTGGGAGATATGCAAGGGGTGTATGCAAG